CCCCAAAACCCCAAAACCCCAAAACCCCAAAACCCCAGAAGTGATTGTTTTAGTTGAAGTAATAATAATTAGAGTTAATATGAAAAAGACATCAGGAGTTGTGTAAGTTTTTAGCCCTGGGAATACTATATTTTAAACTACACTAGGCCCTAAACTTCCTGTGAAAGCAAGGCGAAAGAGCAGAAGGCATGGCTTATGTGTTTTCCCTGGTTTAGAATTTCTGAGGTTATTTTTTGGATCGGAAGAATGTATTCAAATTGATGAATCTAATTAATGGGGAATTTATTAAAATATAGATTGGGAACTTCCTCGAGGAAACCGTTTGGGCTCTTAAGAAAAGTTACAACAGAGGCAGATAAATAAAGCAGGATTTTGACTGAGAAGGAAGGGCAATAAAAGGTACTTTGCTAGACCCCTAGGAAACCTCATTTTGAAATAGGAACGTATCATTTCGGCTCTCTTCTAAACCAGCCCATTCATTGATAAGAAATTTCAGAAAGATAAAGGTAACCCAAAGTTTGTAAAGCGATAGTTTGAAGAGGAAAAGTTTGATATCTCCGACTCTTTGAATGCTTGTGAACTATCAAATGGGAGGATCAGTTTCAAAGGAAAGAACCCGTTAAACTCTTTTGGTACAGGACCGTAAGCTACTAATTCAATCCCTAGCTCTAAGAAAGGAATGTTTGACGACATGACTAAGGTAAATTTACAGTAAGTATACCTTTCTCACTCCTTAGAACAACACGAAAACTTAAGAAGAAGATTGACATGTTCATCGAGCCATACAACAAGGTGCACAACAGTCACTTTTTCATGAGATTTGGGGATGATCCTTATCCAAGACTTCCACAATGACTTTTGTGTATGCGATTCCCTCTCATATTTAGCCCCGAAGGAATAAAAGTTTGGAGAAAAATATCTAATTTTATTCTGAAAGAAAATAACTCAAGTAAGCTCTTGAGTGACGTCTACAGGTTTCAACAGGAAGATGAATAAAATGAACAATGAGGAGTTTGATGATATGATGCGAAGAATTCGCAAGTCTCGGGAAGTAAGCATCCTTTTGATAGAAATCTAGATGATCAGACGTAAAAGGAGAATCACCAAGCGAGGTACTATTAAGAACGCCAACTTTTTCCTTAAGATGAAATATTCCAATGGTGGCATGAGTAAGCAACATTCTATAATTTCAGAGAGGTTCCGAGGCCTAAGATTTAAAGGAGGCTCTCCCTCTTCAAAAGCTTCCGAGTTCAGCCCTAATGAAAATGATGAGAGAGATTCAGAGTTCTTCAAATGTAGGAAGCATGGCTGATTTATAGCGGTGTCATCTGAAAAACTTAACTCAAGTATGATGACGCAAAACGATAGTGATTATATCCCAGAGGTCTCAAGTGAAAGTGAAGAGTTCTCATTTGAAAATAGTGATCAGATGATTGCGAGTCCGCCGTACGTTTAAAAATTAACCCATAGTCAAAGAAAGAAAGCGAAATCTTTTAAGAAAATCAGAAGGCGAAACTCTATAAAGGTAACATCGTGTTTTGGGATTTTGATTCATTAATATTTAGATAGCCAAACAAACAGCAGCGAGGCCAAAATCAAGATGTGTAGATAAGAAGAAGGCCAAAGTGTATAAGGAGAAATCAAAGCTACTTAGCTCTTTCAATAAACCTCGGGTTGAAGAGTTTCCTAGAGGTATTAAAAAATTGTGATTCATTTAGGTGAGAGTCCTTGGAAAAGGCCATCAAGGTTTACAGAAAGTAAACATCTTTAATCAAACTGTATAGACTCAAAGAAGGGGAGCAAGAAATCTATGTCTTCATTGGGAGTAAGCTTACTCTAGTTAGACCTCTTTAGATACATGCTGATGAAGGCAGCCTTAATTGAAATATGAAGGAAATGTAAGATTCCTGCAACTTATTATTAGTTTTCTGAATTTTAAAACCCAGGAAATAATAACTGAAAAATCTGTGAAGTTGAACTTCAACTTCTTCCATAACTCAGTGATAAAAGGTAAACTTAGTGCTAAAATTTTAGAGGAGTCTCATAGACCAAAAGTGCCAAAGAAGCTCTCACGAAAGCAAATCATCAATTATTTCTACAAAGGCCGTAGCATAGTGTCTAGAAATTTGAAAATGTTAAGTTCCAAGGCTACTTCCACCAAAAGGTAATGAGTCAAGGAAACTTTTTGTAGGATTCAAAATTCACGTCTGTTCACTGACAAGCCAAGACTATTTGATTCCATTAAGAAATATTCAAACGATCCTCATCAAGTTTCGAGATCTCAGAAAGAGATTAGTTGCAATCCTATTGGAAACTTTAAAGGTAAGATGTTGTTGTTAAAAGTAGAAACCCCAGTTAATGATACCATTATGACTTCAAGGATTCCAATCCGGCCATTCAGAGGGATATTAGCAAATCAGACGATGGTTCCTCCAACTAATATTTTGAAGTAAGCAATTATCTGTTTGGTGCATACTAATCTTGTCCGAATAGCTCAAAGAAAAAGAAGCACGAATCAAGACTGAAGTTTAATAAAAGACTCACAAAATTTGTGAAAAGGAAAATAAGGACATCACAAAATCGTAGAAGGTCAATGATCTAGCCCAAGTTAAGACAAACTATTACCAAGGATTAAGAGCTTCTGGGTTAACTTTTGATTGTCATAACCTTATATTATCATAACTCTTCTAGAAAATATGCGATTCTTTGTTTGTATAAAGCATGAACAGGTTTAACTCCTTCAGTCCATAAGATACTGAGATTATCCCTACAGAGGTATTAATGCTCCATTACTGTTCTCTTAGCTATAAGTATCTTTAACCCTTCACAGTACCTTATCCCAGTCAAGATTAGCCATTAATTTGTATCCAATTTTGGGCTTATTGGTAAACTTTCAGTTATTAAATAAAGTTTGGGGTTTTGGGGTTTTGGGGTTTTGGGGTTTTGGGGTTTTGGGG